CATAGGCCTATGCATGACCTACGGACACAGATAGGAGGGTGGTGAAGGACGGGGTTGGGTCAGGAATGAGGTGGAAGGTTGATATGGGGTAAAAAGGGGGACATCAGTAATACTCTCAACAGAAAATATTTTTTGAATATATTTTATTGATTTTTTACAGAGAGGAAGGGAGAGGGATAGAGAGTAAGAGACATCAATGAGAGAGAAACATTGATCAGTCGCCTCCTGCACACTCCCCACTGGGAATGTGCCTGCAACCAAGGTAAATGCCCTTGACCAAAATCGAACACAGGACCCTTGAGTCCGCAGGTTGATGCTCTATCCACTGAGCCAAACTGGTCAGGGCAGAAAATATTTTTTTTTAAATAAATAACAAAAGGAAGATCAAAATCACTTAAAATCAAGCAGAAGGAAGGAAAAATAAAGATGAGCTGAGATTAATGAAATCAAAACAGAAAAATTATAGAAAACAAACAATGATGCCAACAGCTGAATCTTTGAAAAGATCAGTAAAACTAACCCAATGCTAACAAGACTGGCAAAGAGACAAATGACCAATATCAGAAATTAATTAGGAGAATAAACACATTCCCAAATGCATTCTTATGAGACCAGAATTCCTTGTGCTGTCAGTACAGAGAAAGAGTAAACTACAGACTGAAATCTCTTGTTAACATATTTACTAAAATCCTCCACAGAAGATTAGCCAATCCTACCAGCAATATAAGAAACTCATACTCCATCATGGCAAAGCAGGAATTATCCCAACAATTCAAAGATGATTCAACATTTTTAAATCATCTGATTTAACCAAAAGAGTCAACTGTGTAAAGAAGAGAAGTCACATGGTCAATAAAATTGATGCAGAAAAGTGTGTACAAAGCACAGCTTCATTCATGATAAAACGCTTAGGGCACGTGGGATAAAGGGGTCCTTCCTCACTCTGATCATGGGACTCCTGGAGCTGATGTCACACTCGATTGTGGGAAGTTACATGATTCCCTCAGATGGGGACAGAGTCAAAAAGGCCCACTCTTACCACTTCTATTCAACATGGTCCTTGACCTGTTAACAAGAGCAATAAGACAGGAAAAATGCATAGAGACATTCAAATGTGAGCCCACACACAAGGTGTCCCTACTTGCAGGTGACATGTTCATCTATGAAGAAAAATCAGAAGAATCTACTTCACAATCCCGGGTGAATGTCAGAAATGGGTCTATTTGGAGACTTATCATAACTGCAGTGGGGCTGTCTGAGTGGGGCTGACAAAGCAGCAGATAAGGGGACTGAACTAAGTTCTTGTGGGAAACCGTCCCCAGAAACACAGCTGTTCACAGAGGAGCAGCCTCAGGAGGGACTTGGCAGCACCACTGGTCACCAGAGTTCACCCTGAATCCCCTGGTGCCTGGAGGGGCCACGCGTGTTTGCTCCTTGAGCTGATCCCAGGGAACATGAGCCCTCCCGCCTCTTTAGGACAGGAAGGAGGTTTGCACTGGGAGCCAGGAGCCCCCTGAAGCCTGGCTGCCCCCTTCCTCCCACAGAAGCGGGGAGAGTGGTGCCCCCTAGTGGTCACACTTCAGAGTGGGTTCCAAGGTCCCCGGAAAACACGCTGGGGTGTAAGCTGGGGAGGCCTCAGTGAGCTTTTAAACTGACACTGAAACCTCCATGCGTGTTGCAGGGAGGGAGGGAGGGAGTCCCTGTCTCTTCCTGGCACCTGGGAAAACGGGCTTTTTCCTCATTGAGGTTTGTGTTTCCCTCAGCCTCACGGGGCCTGACCAGCTGGCTCAGGCGGGTCCCCACAGCGAGGCCCAGCATCCGCCTGCAGGAGAGGGGGTCTGGGTGGTTCTTCGTCTTGAAGTCTCTGGAGAGTGGTTCCAGCCCAGCTCCCCGTGCACCCCTGTGTCCTGGCACCTGGGGCTGCCCTTCTGGGGGCCTCTCCATCCTAGTTCCCCGGCAACACAGACACCCCCAGGTCTGTGGGTCCACCCGGCAGGACCCTGGCTGCCTGCTTGCGGTGCGGGGCCTCCACAGTGTTAACTAGACATGGGGGAGGGGCCCTACCCGTGTGGCTCAGTGGATAGGGCATCAGCCTGCAGACTGATGGGTCTCGGCTTTGATTCCTGTCAAGGGCACGTACCTCCATTGCAAGCTCGATCTCTGCCTGCAAGAGGCAACTGCTCAGTGTGTCTCTATGGGCTCTCCCTCTCCCCTCCCTTCCACTTTCTCAAAAAACAAGTAGAAAATATTATCAGTGAGGATGAATTAAACTATCTGAATAAAGGAATCTTATTTTTTTTTTTAATAAAAAGGAGGAAAGAACTAGTAAGAGGTCACCCCAGAGCCCGCCAGGTGTTGCTCATTGTTTGAGCTTCGACCTATGAACCAAGAGGTCAGGGTTGGAATCCTGGTCAGGGCACTTGCCTGTGCTACTGCCTGAACCCCCAGTGGGGGGCGTGCAGGAGGCAACCGATTGATGACTCTCTCTCATCACTGATGTTTCTATCTCTCTTGCCCATTCTTTCCTCTTTGAAATCAATAAAAATATATTTTAAAATATGAATAAAAAATGAAAAGTAAGAGAGAAGGAAAGCTTTGTGGTGTTTGACCTGCCCATGCCCCACCCCCTCCGCAGCGTGACTGCACTTTCCAAGTGGTGGAGGCTGCCTTCCCAGAGGAACAAGTGAGTACAGTCCCAGGTTCCTGTGTCCGTCTGTCCTCACCTGGGGCTGTGGGAGGATGGACACAGGTGGCTGCTCTGCCTCTGAGAAGGGAGGTGCTTACCTGCCCCCAAGGAAGACGTGGTGCTTCAACTCTCCACTCAGGGTTTTGTTCCAAGAGCCAACATATTCCTTTCTTATTTTTTAATCTTCATTCAAAGATATTTTTCCATTGATTTTCAGAGACAGAGTGGAAGGGAGGGAGGGGAAGAGAGAAACATTGATGTGAGACAAACACATCAGTTGGTTGCCTCCTGCACAAGCTCTGACCAGGGCAAGTGCCAAGGAGGAGCCTGCAACCTAGGTACATGCTCTTGACCAGAATCGAAGCTGAGACCCTTTGGTTCCCGGGGGTATGCTCTATCCACTGAAAAAAACTGGCCAGGGCTAGCACTACATTTTTAATTTTATTTATTTAATTACTTATATTTAATGATTTTTTATTGTTGAAAGTATCACATATGCCCCCACCCCATTGACCCTAGCCAGCCAGGCCACACAACCCATCAGGAATCCATTATTAAATGATCGACATTCTCCCATGTTGAGAGGCTGGGAAACAGGGCTTTTGCACAGGAACAGCAGGGAAGTTGAGTGAAATGTGTGCCTTCAGGAGGCAGCTGCGAGCTTGTGAGAGTGACAGCAGGTTTGAGTCGAAGGCTGTGGCCACAGAGTCCAGCCAAGCCACTACTGCTTCCTCACATGTAGAGGTTCGTGTTTTGTGGAGGATCTGATAGAGGAAAATAACAAGGAGAATCTTTCAGCTTCAAAATAAAAGCATCATCCAATGCACATTCTTATTCCCAAACCCCAGAAAGGCGACATGGCCCACGGCGGGTGAAGGAGAGTGAGAGGAAGCCCCATCCACGTGCCTCTGGGGCAGCACCCATGGGTCCTCATCAAAACCCCAGGAAGGAGGACTCTCAATCCTAGAAGCTCACCCCAAAGAATGGGGTCAGGGTGATGGGTCTCAAGAAAGGAGGGAAGTAGGGGGGTCAGGACGGGACCCCCTGTGGCCAGCATCCATAAGTCCTTTCCCATCTGGGGTCACCCCTAGGGTAACAAGGTCAGGCATGCAACCAGGTTCCCAGCTGCACCTTATATGCAGACTCCATGCAAATGGGGCTCTCCTCCTGCTCATAAAAGGGGGCCCTTGCCCGGCATGTTGGGGAGACACCCAGAACCCAAGCGCCTGAGACAGGACCACAGCGGCTCCACCATGGACTTGGTGCCAAGCTGCGTTCTCCTCCTGATCATTTCTCAAGGTCGTTCTCAGGAACGGGGAGTGCTGAGACCTGTGCCTGTGCCTGTTGGTGCTTCCATGTGATTCTCAGTCCACCTTGTGTCTCTGTGTTTGCAGGTGTCCAGTGTGAGGTGCAGCTAGTGGAGTCTGGAGGAGGCCTGGTGCAGCCTGGGGGGTCTCTGAGACTCTCCTGTGCAGCCTCTGGATTCACCTTCGGTAGCTACACAATGCACTGGGTCCGCCAGGCTCCAGGGAAGGGACTGGAGTGGATCTCACGCATTAGTAGTAGTGGTGGTACCATATCCTACGCAGAGTCTGTGAAGGGCCGCTTCACCATCTCCAGGGACAACACCAAGAACACGCTGTCTCTGCAAATGAGCAGCCTGAGAGCCGAGGACTCTGCCGTGTATTATTGTGCAAGACACACAGTGAGGGGAAGTCAGTGTGAGCCCAGACACTAACCTCCCTGAGGGAGACAGCAGGGCTGGGCTGCAGGGAGCGTCCAGGCCACCAGGGGGAGCTCAGGACCAGCAAACCCAGGCTCCCAGCTCAGAGGGTGTCCCTGGAGGGTTGTGCAGGCTTCCTATTGGGGTCAATGCTTTCTTCCCTCCTAGTGTCCCTGGGGCAGTTCCTCTTCCTTCTTTGTGTCTTTAATTAGATTCTCTGCAGG